TTTTCTCTCTTCGTTCTTATAAAATAAAAATATGAATATTATTTCAATACACGTGCAGTAAGGATAAATCAGATGATTTGCTCCAAAATGTCACTGCGTTTAAAGAATTTTTTCATCAGAGAGCCTAAAAGAAAAATTCACTAGCTTGTCAGTAACAATTTGTATTGAAAAAGGTTTGGAGAAGAGAAATGAAGGTATATAGAAAAAATATTAAACTTTTACTTAACTTTGGACGTTTCGGGAACGAATCTACTTCCGTTTCTGAAGTAGTAATAAACCTTAACAGTAAATATAGGCTTTAATCAACATTGAACTCAACTGACAATGATGATAACTATTCATGACATTGAGTGACATGAAGAATACATAACAATTTAGAAAATATACAGTAGGTTAATATATCATTCACCCCCCCTTCAATAATCAACAACAAAGTCGGATAATTGATTAGGTGGCTTTCGATTCCTTTGAGGTCTGCCACCTGTGGCAGGGTTTGGCATATTCGGATCAATGATTACATCTGCATTTCTTTCACTAGATTGGTAGTTTGAAGAATTTTGAGGTGTAATGTCAGTATTTCTATCCTCTCTAGAATCTTCCAAAATATTATCGGATTCTATAGGGGGTAGTGAATCATTCAGATTATCTCTTCCTGTTGGAGCTAGATGCCTTACAGAAACTGTATCTTCTCGACCATCTGGATATCTGATATGCGCGTACATGGGATTCGCTTCAAGTAGCTCAACTTCATCCACATATGGTTCATATTTGCTTCTCTTATCATTTCTTTTCAGAAAGACAGGACCTGGTTTCGCTAACCAAGATACCACTGACTGACCATTAGAAGTTCTTCTAGCATGATTGAACATGCGTTCATGCGGAGTAGTATTGGTGGCTGTACAGAGAAGAGATCGGATAGAATGTAACGCTTCTGGAATGACATCTTCCCACTGCTCTATTCTCATTCCTTTAGATCTCAGAGCCAGTTGTATAGTTTTCCATATTATGTGATTGTATTTCTCTGCTTGCCCATTTCCTTGTGGATTATATGGTGTAGTTCTACTAGTAGCTATACCACAGTTAGTCAGAAATAATTTCAATTCATGTGACATAAAAGGCAAAGGGAAACCTCGAATACTCATCGATTATTGTGAGAATGTATTTGTTTCTTGACGATGATGGCAGGGGTCCCTTGAAATCCATATTCATCCTTTCAAAAGGCGATGTGGCTTTAATAAGAGTTCCCTGCGATTTAATGAAGTTAGGTTTCATTTCTGCACAAATCCTGCAGGAAGAGGTTATTCGTCGAACTTCATCAATAGAATATGGCATGTTTTTACATTTTATCCAGTGGTACATTCTAGTCACCCCTGGATGACATAAAGAGTCATGAAGATTTAATAGTAAATTAGTATTCCTTTCAGATGTAGAACAAACTCTTGACAATGTATCTGCTACTGTGTTTTCTGTTCCTGGTCGATAGATAATATCATATTTGTATAGTGATTTTATCGTTCTTGATTTTTCCTGCGATTTTATTATCAAACATGTATGCAACAGATTTCTGATCGGTTATTAGTCTGAAATGTCTATTCATTAGGAAGTGACGCCATTTACGTATACTTTCGACAATAGCACTTGCTTCTTTTTCTACAGAAGATTGACGTTGCTCAGAGGATGACAAAGTTTTAGAGAAAAATGCAACTGGTTGGCCCGATTGCGATAACACTGCAGCAATTGCATAATCTGAAGCATCTGTTTCAACAGTAAAGATTATTTCGTCGTCAATCGAATTTACAACAGCATTTGAAAGATCTTTCTTGAGTTGTTCTATAGAAGTTAATGCTTCTGGTCCTAATGGAAATACTTTAGATTGGACCAGAGGACGAATTTTATCTGAGAATTTAGGTATCCATTTCGAATGATATGCGAACATTCCTAGACAACGGCGAAGAGAAGCAGCATCTTTGGGAGTAGGTAGTTCTAGGAGCGGTTTGATTCTGTCAGGATCAGGCTTGATTGTTTTTCTTGTGATCTGATAACCGAGGATATTAATACTGCTCATTGAAAACTTGCACTTGTTTTCATTCAGTGTTAGATTATATGTTTTGGTAGCTTCCAAGAACTTTTCAAGATTCCTATCATGTTCATCTTGAGTCCTACCACATATGGTAACATCATCAAGATAAGTAAAAGTGTCCTTGATATTTTCATTTTGAATTATCGTATCTAGTGCTCGTTGGAAACATGCAACACCATTAGTTACTCCAAATGGAATTCTACAAAATTGAAATAATTTCCCACACGATTCGAATGCTGTGTATGGTTTATCCTCATGTTTAATCGGTATCTGATGATAGGCACTTCGTAAATCTATGGAACTGAATACTTCATATTGCGATATTTTGTATACAAGGTCTTCTATGTTTGGTACAGGATAGGCATCTAGTAATGTGAATCGGTTTATTGTTTGAGAGTAGTCGATGACCATCCTTTTCTTGTGATTATCGTTCACTGTTACTATTGGCTGCGCTCGCCAAGGCGAAATACTTGGTTCTATTATTCCTTCAGATAAGAGTTTCAGAGTTTCTTCTTTTATAAAAATCTCATCTTCTTTAGTATACCGTCGAGATTTGATAGCAATAGGTTTACAGTCTAGAGATAGATTTGCAAATAATGGTATAGGTGATAGATTTGCCAGAGCCAAACCACATATGGTTAAAGGTTTTCTTGATCCTCCAAATGAAAATTCTATTGATGAATGCTTTTTCAGTATATCATGTCCTAAGATGATATCAGCACAAAGATCTTGAAGAATAAATAGCTTCACATCAACATATTTATGAGACTGAATGTTCATATTTACGATACAATATCCTTTAACCTGCGATATCAGAGATGAAGACGCCATCACAATATCTTTTGTGAAAGGGATTACATGTAGCTTATATTTATCAATTAGTGACTTATTGATGAAGCTTTCAGTACTACCAGTATCAATGAGCGCTTGTACTTCATTGTTATTTATGTGGATTTTAATGAGCGATTTCGAAAGTGAAGCAGGAGCAGCAGCTGAGATAGTTGACAAAATACCAGCAGATGTTGCTCTTTGCTTAGTTTTAGCAGCACTTCGACAAACTTTTGAAAAATGTCCTTTTTTATCGCATACATAACAAATAGAATCTTTGGCAGGACAAATACTACGAGGATGTCTGTCTTTTCCACAAAAATAACATCTAGATGCAATAGCTGAAACATATGGAGCTGGATCAGAGGTCGATTCGCCAAGTACGGTCTTATTCAGAGCAGCAGCATTGCATGGCATAGAGTTAGTATAAAAACTAGAATGATTTTGGGCTGCCTCTAATGCTCTAGCCTGATCGAAAGCATCTTGCAGTCCTAGTGTAGAATTTTCCAGCAATCGTTGTCGAGTATTAGATGATACAAGTCCACTTATGAATGCGTCACGAATGAAATCATCTCGGTTCTGACTAGCTGTAACATCTTTGAAGTTACACGCCTTACTGAGTTGTTTTAGGATTTGTAGATACTGATCTATCGATTCTCCAGGCTGCTGTCGCCTTGAAGATAGTGTGTGACGAGCGAATATTTCATTTGTAGATTTCACATATAGTTTCTTCAGAATTTTGATCGATTCAGTATATGTTTTGGACTCACTCACGTATTCGTAAACAGATGGAGCGATATGGTTGATTAATAGATTAAGTTTCTGCGAATCTTGAACAACCCTCGTTGCACTGATGAAGTTTTCGAATGTTGTGAACCAGTGGGTCCATTGCTGTGCTGCAATTGCGACGTTGGGTTCGACATCAAATCTCTCTGGTCTCAGCAGACGATCCATTTGATATATAGAATATCTTCAATGTTGATTAAATTGAAGTAGTAATAAACCTTAACAGTAAATATAGGCTTTAATCAACATTGAACTCAACTGACAATGATGATAACTATTCATGACATTGAGTGACATGAAGAATACATAACAATTTAGAAAATATACAGTAGGTTAATATATCATTTTCCAACATTAAAAATGGTTATTTGAATAGTAAACTCGTATTCGTCTTGGAACTTTCCAGTTCTGTAACAATTGGTGACGTTGGCAATCAAATGAGTTACAGGATGTTCTCATTAATCAATTTTGAATTTACCATTTTCATTTCGAGATTTCAGTAGTGTATACCATGTTCTATCTATATCAACTGAACAGGAAGCCAGGCCATTGTCTCCGTTCAGAAGAATGCAAGCAGATTCCCTGATTTTTCTTTTCTGGTTGTTATCTCCTTTTCCAATGGTTTCGATATTATTCCACTCTGTCAAGACAAATACGAATTTGCTATTCTTGTCATTTTTATATTGAAAATAGGAGATGAGTCGTTCCCGAAACGTCCAAGGCGAAGTGAAAATTCGATATTTTCTCTATATACCTTCAATTCCCTTCTCTGAACCCTTTTCAATACAAATTGCCACTGACAAGCAAGTGAATTTTTCTTTTAGGCTCTCTGATGGGAAAATTCCTCAAACGCAGTGACATTTTGGGGCAAATCATCTGATTTGTCCTTACTACACGTATATTGAAATAATATTCATATTTTCTTTTCATAGAAACGAGGAGAGAAAATCCAAAAAATCTGTAATAATGAATTATTATTGTTATCATTATATAGACATTTTGACCGCCAGCTCCCTAACTATCAGATCCGAGACCACTTCTTGTTGCCTTCCTCATATTCTTCCATACACTCTTGGTTGCTCTGTCGTCTCGTGTCTTCTTACATTATATCCTGTGTCGCAAGATATGGGCTTGCTACCATACAATCGTTATTTTTTTCTATAAAAAAACACTTTTCTTTCCCAATTTCGTTTATCGAGAGACAATTGGTTTTCTTTGGTGTGCTCAGTGATGCAACAAACTTGGTTCATCCTTGGTTGTGATGTGATTTTTCAGACCGGTCGGGGTTTTTCTTTTCTTTTTCGAAATGGTGCGTAGTTTTCGGGTTTTGACGATGGCGACTGGACTTGCCGTTTTGGGAATCATCAGGGCGATAAGCATTGACAATCATTTGATGCCCACTATAACCGGTAAGTTTTAATTATAGTTGTCACGATGATTGAAAGAATTCCAGTCACATTAATGTGTAAACTGAGATATCACAGCCCAGTCACTTTTACAGTCTAATTATAGTCTACTAGTAAGTGATATTCACTCAATCACTAGTTGCGGGTACGTTATAAAAACGTCGTAGTTAATACGTAATAACAACCAGAACAGAGGGAACGAAGTATGACTGAAATATTCCCTACGGTTTCTTGACGTAGCTGATTGAACTCACACAATAACGTAATGCTTACGTTCTGTCGACGTCGAAATTACGTGGAGATATAGTTCATTTATAACACGCTTAAGCGTATTTGTCGAACAAAATGTTAAATGATGTTCCGCCACCAGAATTTCAAAGTTCCGCCACCAGAATTTCAAAGTTCCTCCACCAAAATTTGAAATGTTCGTTCTTATTCTTAATAACTGACTTTTGTAGTTAGCCCAACGAAAAAATGAAAAATAAATAATAGTTTGAAAAACTAAAGGAACACGCTTTTATGGATAGTATAACTGAAAAAAAACTGGAAATAAAATAAGGAAAGCATGTGAATAAATATAAAACAGATGAAAATATTAGCACCTTCGTAATTAGTATTTTCTATATGTTTTGTATCTATCCAAATGCTTTCATTATTTAATTTTTTACTTATTTTCAGTTTGGCTATCTATGCGTATAAGCGTGTTCCTCCAGTTTTTTTAACTATTATTTATTCCATTGACTTTCTGTCTCTTTTCCACTTCATAAAAATATTATATCATCTCTTCATTATTTTGAACATCAAGATCACGTACTACACTACATAAGAATAAAAAAGAGAAATATACATCAATAACACCAATAAATCCAAATTCGAAGAAGCAAAACAATTGATACTCGTACATGAAAAATTGCATCCAGTTTATCCATAAATATGATGATTTTGTCACGAAATTAGAGATGCGCCTACAAAATATGTACATTATATGATTTTTTTTCCCAAAATTCATTGTAAATCTTGTTGAATTTCAGTATTTTGCTCTTTGTTATATCGAAAAAAGGTTCTTCTTGACGTTTTACAATGGTTATACCTAAAATCCGGTATGAGCTAACACGGCTAACCTCACTTCAATTTAATTTAATTTAAGAACCCTTTGTGTGGGGGTATTTCAGCTATTCCTGATAGGAATAACGCATATGCTAATTATATTTTCGAAAAAAAATGCTAGAGAACTGAAAACTTCAGATTTGATTTGATTTCTATATTACTGAATTATTGTTTTCTACGAGGACGTCCCTGGGATATCCTGTGTCGGGACATACTAGGGACGCCCCAGGGACATCCGCTTTCCACCAAAAGAGGCATCCTAGGGATGTCCTTCTGGTACGTCCCTGGAATGTACCAAGTACGAAGAAATGATATCCCTACGACGACCCAAGGATATCCCAGGGATATCCCTTCGACAAAAGAAAAAAATGTAGCCTCATGAAGATTCATGTACTAAACAGATTTATAAACAGGACTTAACTACAGAAACCTGAATAAATACAACTTTGTTAGGATTTGGGTATAATGATTGTATCATTTTTGGGTGTTTAAAAATGAGGGGCATTATGCATGTACGATTTCTCTTTGCGAAAAATGGTGATTTCTTGAGAAGTTCTGAAAATGTATTCTTTATTTTCGTTACGATTATTTTCCGGAAGAAATACAAACATTTTCAAAAAATGCAACTTAATACTTTGATGAAATTCAATGACTCTGATGTGAATGGATATCAGATATTCCAGGGACACGAATAGGATAACCTGGGGATGTACCGGGCGGGATGTCCACTGAATAACCACTGCGCCACATCCCCTGGATGCCCCAATCATGTACCGCGGGACAAAAAAGGGACGTACCTAGGACATCCCTGTGTTGTTAGGGAGGGTATTGCGAGTTAAGATCACACACACTGTATATTCGAAATCACAAAAATATATAATCTATCTAATAGTTACTAATTATAAACGGTGTTCGATGTGGAAAATTATATAATAATAATAATAATAATTTGTCTTTATTTGTCCTCATAAAAAAAAACAATAATACCGAGGGCAAATGGGCGAAGTCTAGTCATGACCAGACGAATCCAGTCAATTCCTACTAAGTTGCATAAATCTTTTTTTTTTTTTCGAGATGTTTAACTGTTTTTCTGAAGACAATAACCTTATATTATGAAATCGACAATAAAAATTAAACAGAACCGTTCCTTGAAGAAAAAAGTATTCAATTATATATAAAAGAAGGTGAGGGGTTCGAAATATATGTACCCAGTAATAATTTTTTTAAAGTCCGATTTTGGATCATCACTTTTTATTTCGCATCGCATAATATTCTTATTCAAGATTTGGAATTATCTTCTTTCAGTTTCGCAATATTCAGCACGCAATTGATTCAACAAATGGAGCAGATAATAGCAATCCGTGATGAATTCAGAATGATCCTGTATAAGACTTGATGAATTATTATTATAGAGACTTATAATAATCTAACTGTACATAATCATTCGCGAATCAAAACGCAGGTCATCAAAAATGTTAATTAACCAGATATATGCCGCTTATATAAAGCCTCGCGGGTATAGGTTGTGATTCATGCAAAAAAAAAACAGTTGTAACCTACATTTCGAATCAATTCAATTTTTCTTCAACTCAAAGTATGACAATACAATACATTTTTTTACTACTTCCGTTATATAGTACAAAAAAATATGTCTTCCTGATATGTTTTCTCTTCCAGATTGTTATGAAAGATTAGCCATAGGTGAAAGATTACAGCCCGATAACGTTTACAAATTTTTCAACTACAACACTGTCGCAGAATGTAAAAAAGTCTGCTCTGATGAAAGAAAATCCTGCAAAGCATTTGCATTTGGGTAAGTATTGTACAATATTCATAGACTCATCCAATAATAATTAACAATTGAAAATACCGATTTCAGTTCTCCCGATTCACTCAAAAATTATTGAAAAAATGATGAATAAGCGTATTCTTGATTTTCTTGAAAATAATGGTCTACTACACAGTGGTCAATATGGATTTCGCCGATCGAAAGACACTGAGGTAGCAGTTATGGATGTAATTTCGGATATTCAGTTCAAAATTGATCAAAATTATAAATGTGGTCTCTTGTCTTCAGATTTATGTAAAGCTTTCGATATTGTAAAGTATGATATTTTACTGAGTAAAATATATTCAATAGGTGTCAGTAATCAGTATGTTGAAGTCAATAATATTTGTAGCTCCATAAGGGAGATCAAATGTGGTGTACCACAAGGTTCTGTTTTAGGTCCAATGTTATTCTTAATTCACATCAATTCAATATTATCTTTGAAACTAAAAGGAGATCTATAAAGTTATTTGCAGATGATACTACAATAATCTATTCCTCTAACGAATTCAATGATATAGTTGATGATATAAAAATTGACTTGAAAATGATATCATCTTGTCTACGAATTCATAAGCTGACTCTTAACTATGACAAATCTACGTATTTGTATATTTCAAAAAGATAAACTGATAAATCGAAAACAACAATATTTTTCGAACAGAAAGCCATAAAATATTTAGATGTTATAAAATTCTTAGGTCTTTATATTGATGAACAGGGGCGGACTGGCCCGGAGGGCAGGAGGGCGAAGCCCTCCGCGCCTTTGCCCAGTGGCGCCCCTGCCCCTGGTATACTGAAAATCCAAGAAAGTAAAGAAAAAACGCGCCGCTATCGCACCCGACAAAGGTCAGAAAGCAAGTTTTTTTTTTCATTTTCGAATGCAGACTTTTTACTCGGAATGACGACTTGTTACTTGGAATTCTGGACCACCTGGTATAAAAAGTATGTGAGCTTTTACTTCTCCTCTTTCATCACAACTTGCTTCATCCCACAAGAACCATTTTTGTGTGATGAATTGGTAATTACCCAATCAATTTGGAAATGTACTGGATGAAACGTTATAAATTACTACTTCCTGTAGCTATTTTATTTTTCAAATTTCAAAAATAAATAGAAACATCAAACATTTTTATCAATTCTCGAATCTAAATATTAAAAAATGTGAGAGTTTTGAGTAGAACATCTTATATACAGGGTCCAACGATTTAATAGGAAGAGTATTGCTATGTCCTAAACGGTTAGAGATATATAGAAATTCGATCAGATTGAACAGAAGTTTCGTCAACCTCCTCGATATGACGTTTTACAATTTCAAAAAATGTCAGCCGTTCCGGAAATATTTTGAAAAAACTGAAAATCACTGACTTCGTTTTTATCCATTTTCCCACTTGATAAACTATTGAAATTTTGTATGAGCAGGTGATTGATCATGATGAAAATTTGGGAGTGTGAGAAATATTTTTCAATATTTTCAGAGATTTGACATGCAACTTACGTTTTTCTTATGGGCGCTATATTTGTTTTTTATATACCATTGAATGAAAATAGCGCTAAAGAACAGTAAAAACATTTCCAAATATGGTAGGCCATGAAAATAAGAAAACATATATTATCAGTCGTCATGACTACGTTATCAATACTTCTTAATATAACCAATAACCATGAATAACGCGCTTCATTATTACAAAAGGCACAGAACAAATTTTTCGTTGAATAATCAAGAGTCCTCTATCTATTATTGAAGGTTTTTGTTCAGTGTATAAGACTTGGTCTTGACAGAAGTTTTATTCCAGTTATATTTCTATGATTGAATTTAAATTGGTGAATCTCTGAAAATAATAGATAAAATATTTCTGAAAATCCCAACTTCTTTGTCATCCATGATTAATTACCTGTTCATACACATAATTTCAATATTTTCTCTCTAATATTAACCAAGAGAATAAGCAAGAACGAAATCAGTGATTTTTAGTCTTTTCAAAATATTTCAGGAACGGCACACATTTTTCGAAAGTGCATAACGTGATATTGAATAGGTTCAAATTAAGCAACGTTTGTCCTATCTAATCAACTTTCTATCTCTTACTGTTTAGGAAATAATAGCAATACTGTCTCTATTAAATCGTTGATGGGACATTGTATATTTCCTTACCATCGGAAAGACCACTCAAAGAGCTTTCCAAAAACACATCATCTTCCATATTTTTCAATTCATGAGTATCCAAGACCAACAGAATTTGATCGATTTTTGAACGATTTTTGAATAAAAATAATGAGAATGATTGCAAATCTGATCAGTAAAAAAAAAATTTTTATGTCTTGGCCTTTACTCTCAAACACCATTCAAAATCGATGAAATTCTGTTCGTTTCGAATCGTTTTAAAAGCCCATATTTGGAGGAATACATGCAGAAGATGAATATATTGAGTAGGTATTTTTTCAGATGGTGAGAATGTATCTGTTTGTTCGAGAAGGAAATAATATTATCATATATCAATGATCGAGGTTGTCTTTAATTTTTTATGAAATATTCCAATATTGGGCCAAATCCGAGTGGAAATTCGGAATAAAAAAAAAGTGTGCACTTCTACGCCTCTGTATAAACACTCAGACAATCATTTCATGTTGCGCCCTTTGATCCACAAAGCCCTCTAGGTTTTTTCAACCCAGTCCGCCCCTGTTGATGAACAATTATCGTGGACTCAACATATAGATCACCTGAGAAAAAAGCTAAATCCAGTAACTGGCATTTTATACAAAATTCGAATTTTCATTCTTCTTAGATATTTGAAGAATATACCTATATTTCTTTCTGATATACTCAAAATTACAATATTTAATATCAATTTGGGGAAGCACCAGTATATCACATTTGAAACTATTATTGAAATTACAAAATGAGGGTAAAAGGACCTCGGTCAATAACCCTTTGGATCATGTTTGGTTCAATAAAGTACTATTATTATTATTATTACAAAATGAAACATTAAAGTGCATTTACAATTTACATTACCTGGAACCAACTATTAATCTTTACAAACCAAAAAATCTGTTGAATTCATAATTCTCATATAAAATGAAGATTTGTTCTTTTATTCATTTTGTGGGAAAAAGAATCCAACTTGAACTTTACTGAAGTAAATACAATACTCATGAAACGAGACAGTTGAATTTATTAATAGCAAACCCATATAACTCCATTATTGGCAAACAATCAGTATTCTACGACGGAATCATTTTATATAATTCGTTACCTTATGATTTGAAACATATTGATGATGAAACAAGATTCAAAGTCGATTTGAAAAAAATATATACTGGTACTATGGAATGACGAAACGAAAGATAATCAAACAACACCCTTTGTAGGATATCGGCCAAAGGAAATGCCACCTGCGAGCTGAGCATAGACGCGATCAAAGAAACAGCAGACCTCAAACCAGTCGGAACACTCTCATCCACCGACTTCGACCTCTACATCAAAAAACTGGACTGTACCCTCGTCATTGAAAACACCGATAAGCATCCAAACCACGACTACCGCCCCTCCTTGAAGCCAGTGACACTTGGCAACCTCGACGCAGAAGACGAGTTCCATCACGACCCCCTGCAAATAGCACCTGGTGAGAACAAGCCGCCTCACGCTCCAGACTCGGGTCACCAGTACCTTCCTTCGACGCCGAGTCACCAGTACCTTCCCTCCAGCCACCACTACGTTTCGCCGCCTGTTAAAGATGGCGTTCACAACGTGCAGACTTTGGTTAGCATCGCCAGTGGTCCTGAAAGTGTCTTGAACCCCATACACGGTAAGCACATTCATTATCCTGGAAAAATTCCGAAAATAAACATCCGCAGTAACTGTTTTCCTTTCACTGAACCCATTCCAGTGACCCTCTCCCAGATACCACAAAGACGTTTTGATAACCTATTGAGGAGGTGCTAATAATGCCCTGATGATGTCGAGAGGTATCCGTAAGACGTCTCTAGGATGTCCACTTGTTACCATTTATATATGACAGCAATCTATTGAAAAATATGGTGAAACCTCAGCCGTGGCACTTGATATCTCCAAGGCATTCGATCGAGTCTGGCACCACGGACTCCTCGCCAAGCTTCCATCTTATGGCTTGCCTCCCCAGCTATGTTCTCTCAAACAGGTCTCTCCATGTAGTGGTCGACGGAGTTTCATCTGACTCTCTTATCATAAATGCTGGTGTTCCGCAAGGATCAATTCTAGCACAAACACTATTTCTACTCCATATCAACGATTTGTTGGAAGCAACTTCATGTCCAGTACACAGCTTCGCGGATGATAGTATCCTCCATACCACCTTCTCTTCCAGGGCTCCAATACCAGCTAGGCAAATCAAAAACGAACGAGGAAGAAATGTTGACAAAATAAATATGGACTTGGCAACAATTCTCGAATGTTGATCCAATAACTTGGTAGATTTCAATGCAAACAAAACACAAGCATGCCTTTTCTCTAGAAAAGCCGATCTCACTGTGCCCAACATAAGCTTATCAGGAGTAACCATACCTTTGAAGACATCCATTTCGATGCTTGGTATCACTATCAGCAATAACCTATCTTGGGAAAATCACGTGAGATCAATTGCTGAAAGTGCATCCCAAAAACTTGGTTTACTGTTTCGGGCCAGGAGCTATTTTACTTCCAGTCAGCTGCTTATGATCTATAAGGCACAGATCCGACCTGTCCTGGAATACTGTTTCCATATTTGGAGTGCAGCACCCAAATATACCCTGAAACTGTTGGATTCTGTCCAAAAAAGTTCAATTCGTCTCGTGGGCGATGCCTCGCTCACAAAGTCACTCACTTCTCTGGAACACCGTAGAAATGTTGGCGATCTGGATCTATTTTATAGATATCTTCATGGACGATGCTCTTCTGAAATATCAACAATTGTTCCTCCCTTGGCAGTCCCCGCGAGCTTAACCCGTGGAGTTGAGGTTTCGCATCCCTTCGTGGTCACTTTCGAGACCTGCAGAACATATCTTTCCAAAGAGTGGTTCATCCAACGAACAGCGAGGCTCTGGAACACATTGCCAAGGGAAGTGTTTCCCGAGGCATATAACCTCCAAATATTTAAGAAAAACACCAATTCTCACCTTATTTCCCTTGGTTCTCACGATGTTCTCTGAACATCACAGGATATCCCTTTTCGTGGGAACCAGAACATAAAAAAAAACTGCAAATGACATCACAGAAGTCAGAACATCCCATTGATATTTTCCAGAGACGTCCTGAAGAACTTCCTGAGGATGTTCTGAATGATGCACTTATAGACGTCTCTAGAACGTTCACATGTTACCATTTTCTGCATGTAACGGTAACGTGACGTCTAAAACATATTCATGCACTCACAATCCACCAGGGTCGACCTGAAGGCTTTTCACACAACTGCTGACACACTCAGCAAATTCGAAAGTTATGTTGAAACAATGTCGAAGCAATTACTAAAACGGACGTTCAGCAATATTGGAATGGTGGAAGTTTGATAATGTATCCTAGCAATATGACATGTTGCTGTGACATTGCTGGAACATTTGATTAACAAATTTACATTTGCGATATTGCTGAACGTCCGTTTCAGTAATTACTACAACCTTGCATCGACATAGCTTCCAAATTTGCTTAGTGGGGAGGTCCTGAGGAAATCGATTTTCACAGCCTAATCAAGGATCTGTTGGAATAACTTGATAACGAAATAAAAGGAATTGTTTCTTGAGTCCTGTGTAATGTGTTAACAATGAAACTTTTGGTGACATTTCGAAGATGTCTCTAGGTTCGTATATAGACATGTACCCAGGCTGTCCTCAAGTCTTCTAATTCAAAATATTATAAGTTAAAATTCTCAGCCAAGTGAGTGAGAAGTAGCAGCTTATAATGACGTTACAAGAATGAAGGAACTAGGACATTCCAACCATAAACCAAAATTAGTATATGTCCTGATGTATATTTTTTCTGTGTCCATCAAAGATCTCTCATGTTTTGTCACAGTGATGTTTCAATCATTCTAAGCTTCTGATCACCTTTTTCTCTTGTCTGCAGGTATCCTAGTAGCTCAGGAGACCGCCAATTACGGAGAGGAAGGAAAACTCCCTCCTTACAAACCAGCTGCTTTGAATCGTCCGTACGACGGTCACAAAACCAGACCTGACCGTTACGACAGACCTGATCCAGACTATGGGTATAGGCCAGGGTTTCTGGGAGCAGGTGAGGGATATGCTGACGAAGGAACGTTCGAGAGGCCACACTGGACTCCAGACAGACCTGACCTGGATCGGTTTGACGTGGTGAATCCTAGTAGTGCAGGGTACAACCTCAACAGGTAATCAAGGAAAGCACACAAAGAAACAAGTTTTATATCCCAGTTTATGCTGTTGTAGATATGGAGACCGTCCATCAAGAATCCCTTTTCGTCCAGAACCAGATTTCCTCGCTAGCCACCGACCCCTACCAAACAGGTACGGCTCCTTGATCCCCCACCCTGATGAATACGACAACCTGCCCAGTCTACAGAGTGAGTACCTTTTCCAGCAGTCCCACCAAGAATCCTTCAGCGAATTATACCATGAAGGAAACAACAGGCCGCCTAGGCCTCCGCTGGGTTCCCAAGGATATGATGGGGGCGACAAAGACCTGGGACTACGTCCAAGCTATCCCCACGGAAGACCAAATGTTGATAGAGATAAGAACACTGACAAAAACCATAACTATGCTCACCAAACTCCTCTAGTGAGCTCTCAAGGCTATGGCGATCGAAACCATGATGAAGTCATTGATCATAATTATGCCTATGAAAGACCCTCGAGGCCATCGGGCGATGATCCTAACGACTACCCCAAGCCTGTCAAGCCTAGACCTTTGCATGCCCATCAAACTCCTCTAGTGAGCTCTCAAGGCTATGGCGATCGAAACCATGATGAAGACATTGATCATAATTATGCCTATAAAAGACCCTCGAGGCCATCGGGCGACAATCCTAACGACTACCCCAAGCCTGTCAAGCCTAGACCTTTGCAGCAGCATTCTGGAGGGTACGGAGATAAAGGGAAGCCTGGAGTTGGTGAATTGGTTCAAAATTGGGAGGATTATGGAAGACCTGGTCCACATTCTGTTAGACCGTCAGGTATAGATAGATGTTTATTGATTCGTATCAGCATACTTTCCACTATTGAACCCTTAGAAACACCAGAGACTATCAACTATGGTCATCAAGTAATTAAACACACTGGTTCCATTACCCATCTGCTTGAATGATCATTTATTTATTTATCGCTTGGAGCGCACGAAAGGGAATCCCTATAATGTTCAAAGAACATCGTGCGTTCCTAGGGAGGATAGGGATAGGAGGTAGGTATTGGATTTTTTTTTGAACTTCTGGAGATTATATGTTGTTGGGAATACTTCCTCAGGCAATGAATTCCACCTGATAGGAATGTTCACTTTGATTTTAGGTAGCAGGCCTTACGATGATGAAAAACCTCTGAGACCAAACGGCAAACCTTCTGAAGGCTATGGAGGAACTTCTGGACAAGCTTGTTGTAGCAGTTATGGTAATGAGAAAGGTGGCAAGCCGATAGTGAGCCATAGTACTGGATACAATGGGGAGCAAATCACTTCTATTATAACGCAAATCGAAGATGGTGAGTGATTTTTTTTTCTGAAGCCGAGTCAAGGCCGTTACTTCTGATGGAAAACCATGTCAAATGTAGAAACTTCACAAACGATAAGATTTCCACAAAATTCTCAAACACACGACATGTTTCGCTAACACAGTAGCTTCGTCAGGTGATATACTGGTACGATAAACAAAACTAACCTTGTCTTGCTTATATATCCTAATTTAAGTTTACTCAACGATCAATTAGACCTCAATAGTTCACCACTGTTGAATTTGTTTTCTTAGTAGATGATAATATGTATTTGCTATCAACCCTTCCAAGTTAATCTGGTACACCGTATTTTAATGTAGATACTGTGCCTTATTTCCGGAAATGAAGGTTTATCGAAACTGTCCACAGGTAACTTATCCTTCAGGTTGGGAAAGTAGGATATATAATCAATTTTTAGATTTAACGATAGGTAAGATTAATGATAAACATGGTTTTTCAATTTTCCATTAACCTTCGTACACTGATATCACTATCCATGATAATTCAACACACCCTTATCAACATAAAATTGCAGCATATATTTCAATAAAGAACTCAATATTATAAAACAGATTGCAGTCAACAACGTATACAACGTTAATCTGATAGACAGTATTCTTTCTAAAAAACTTCATAATGAATATATTCAAGAAGTTTATCCTACCATCAAGAATAGTAATCAAAATTATAGAACTTCAACCTATTTCGGATCATCAACTGAAAAAGTAGCTTCATTTCTACATAAACAGGACTTGAGAGTAGCGTATAGAACAAATAACATGTTGGGAAGGTTCATCAAAAATAACAAAGACAAAACTTCTAAATTCGAAAAATCAGGGGTATACAAACTCAACTGTGGATCTTGTCCTGAGGTATATATCGGTCAGACAGGTCGTACGTTTAATCAGCGCATTCATGAACATAAGGTGTATTTTTTGAAAAAAAAAAAATTCAACATACGCCAACCATATATTAGAAGAAAACCATAGTTTTGATAATAATTTCGAAATTCTACACGTAGGAAATAAAGGAATGGAACTCAATCATTCCGAATCTTTAGAGATCAACAAACTCAAAAAATGTTAGATTTCACTTAACGATCAATTAGACCTCAATAGTTCACAACCGTTGAATTTGCTTTATCAGTAGGAAATAATGTGTATTTGCTTTCAACTCTTTCAAGTTAATCCAGTATACCGTATTTTAATGTATAGTATATTGTGCCTAATTTCCGAAAATGAATGTTTATCGAAACTGTCAACAGGTAACTCAGACAAAATATTTATTGGAACTTCTTTCTTAAAACTACTCAATGAATCACCATGAAGTTTCGTACAGTAGTTAGGAAACACCTTTTATACATATATCTGTACTCCACTGATGATATAGATGATCGGTGAGACAAGACACCCCGTTCTGATTGAACTTCACTACATCTTTAAATTTTTTCATCTCTTGGAGTGCACGAAAAAGAATCCCTATGATGTCCGAAGAATATCGTGCGTACCTAGGGAGGATAGGAGATGAGGTAGGTATTGGATTTTTTTTACTTTTTGAGCATATACCCATTGGCAAGCTTTGCTGTTTTAAAAATGAACGAGTTTTGATAAAGTGTTGTTCGAAATATTTCAAGGTTGGCAACGCAAGGATGTGCGGGTCAGGCCCGGACTGGTACTATTTTGCTACCGGGCATTTTCTTTGGCCGACCCCCAATTTTCAGGTCGGTTTTCTTGGGTATGAATAATCGTAATTTCATTATGATGATCATAGATTAAAAGTCGTTAAACTATGTGATGATAGAAAGTGTGACCGCTTAAATGGGGCAAAAGTTGCGCAACCAGAGCAGCCTTCGAAAATTTTCAAAATCATTTAGTTTTTTAGTTATATCGAAAAAAGTTGAATCTTCTTTTTTCTTGTTATTAGAGTTATGAAAAATCTGAAAATATTTCAAATTTATGTTTTTTTTATCGCTACGGTCCTGATTACGTGTTCACAGATTCTTTAAGCTTCTGTAACTCTGAATACGGCTAAGTATTATACAGAGTGGTTTGAATGTGTTTCGACCTAGTGGGGGTTAGAGTCCCTGTATGTATAATTCCCTGTATATATTTGTCAGTTTTGTTGTAAAAGTGTCAAATACAAACAGGGACTCTAGTGGGGGTTAGATGTCAAGATATTGAAAAAAGTGAGTTGAAAAAGTTGTTTAGGATATAATTCGAGCAATTTTTCGGTAAAATTGAAAATATCCATTTTTTGTGAATATTTTTTGATCTCTCTATGGTAGGAGAGCCGTCATCTGATACCGAAATGATATTTATGTCCCGAAGGAAAGTGAAAGCATAGTAGTTCATCGAACGGCACCTGTGCCAATCACTATCCTGAGCAGAGTAACTAGAATATTGCACATTCCTGTGCGGAAATTCGCACTCGATTTGAACGGCCAATGTTTTCTACACGAAAAAGGTACTCCTTAGTACAATGGTATACAAAGTTCTTACACCCTATACGAAAGAGGCTTCTTTTGCGAGCATTTTGTTTTTTTTTTATTCATTGATTTATCTCTAAAATTTTCCGAATTACAGCTTTTTTGCTGATACCTTACGCTTATCCGACAAATTAAATTTATTGAAGGATCAGAGTACTCAAAATTGATTGGGTTGTACTCTGGTAGGATCACATTGTCTTTAAAAAAACAAATGCCGTTGCCATTGCAACTAATTTGTTGTAATATTTGACCATAAGTCGTTGTCATTAATAAAGTGTCTTGTTTTATTGACTAAAATTACATAAAATGCCTCAAATAAATCCTGAACAAGTAGCACGATCAGTTGCGTTAGTAAACGATGGGCGTAGTAAACGTTACGCCGCTCGTGCAGTGGGAGTTCATGAAGCAACTGCTCGTAGAGCAATCCGCAAGTACGAACAAACAGGAAGCACCGCTCGGAGGGTCGGTTCTGGTCGCCCCCGAAAAACTTCTCCAAGAGATGATCGCTTCTTGAGATTGCGGATTTTACGGAATCGATCAAATACTGCGGTAAATGTTCAGCAAGATCTTCGCCAAATTCGTGATGTTGCTGTAAGTAAGCAGACGGTATGCAGACGTCTAAAAGAAGTTTATTTAAAAGCTAGGAGACCTGCAAAAGGTCCCAAATTATTGCCCGAACATCGTGCTGCTAGAAGAAATTTTGTTAAAAATTATGGACAGTGGAATATTCCTAAATGGTCGAATGCCTTGTTTACGGATGAGTCAAGGTTTTGCCTCAACATGGTGAATGGAAGAAAAAGAGTGTGGAGAAGAACTGGTGAACGGTTTAATCAAAATTTAATAACAGAATGCGAAAGTTTTAATGGTGGGTCCGTTATGGTGTGGGGAGGGATTTCAATGAATGGAAAGACACCCCTTTATGTGTCGGTGAGGCAGTCGATGAATGCCAAAATTTACATTGACATATTAGAGCAGTGTGTCTTACCTTATGCAGAGTTAGTGGGCAATAATTTTATATTGATGCAGGATAATGCCCGACCACGCACCGCAGCAATAGTGCGAAACTTCTTAGAAGCTACTGGTATTACCACATTACAATGGCATGCGAGAAGCCCCGATATGAATCCTATAGAACATTTGTGGAATGAATTAGGGAGAAGGGTACGTTCTCGCGAGAGGTCTCCGGCTAGTCCCGCAGAAATGGCAGATGCATTAGTGGAAGAATGGGATCGTATACCAATGGAAACGATAAGCAACTTAATTTCCAGTATGCCAGTTGCTTTAGGAGGCAATACACGGTATTAAGCAGTCTTCCCAATTTATAATTTTGTGATAAATAAAAATGTTTTTTTAAATTATTGGTATCAGTTTATTTCATTAGAAAATTGTTTCTCGATAAATTCAGAAAATTGGTAATCTGCAATATCTCCAAAACTGTGCGAAAAAATCTATTTTTGGGTGCCATATTGACAAGATGGCAGCGCCGGCGGCATGTCTCGGAATGTACATTTTGTGAATTTTAGTTCTGGACATCCAAACCTACAAACCTGCAAAGTTTCAAAACTTCCGGACTCATTTCCAGGTAAGCCTTATTTTTGATCCCCATGCAATGACTGAACTATGGACCATGGGGGGGAAGGAGGCACGAGTCAACCCCTGCCCTTGCCTGGCTACGCCCATGGAGTGAGTATCTATCTGAAATTTATGGATAGATCGATTCACGTATATGTGTATTTAAGTATACATTGAAACTGAAAGGACGACATCATCAGACAGAACAATAAGAAACATTTGCATAATGGTACATATACCATAAAACACCAAGCGATAATGCGTGATAGATGGTGGAGGCAACATCAGTTATGCACATTAACAACAATAAGTGACCATTGTTGTAAGTACGACCTTCTGATTGTACACTGATTATAGGCCCATTGTAAAATTTCATCTGTTGGATGATGCAAGGGCTATAAATCACTCTCTGTCTACTGTATAGGTGCTTAAATACATTTATTTTTTTCTTGAAACTGAAAACTCTTGAAGGATTTTCCTGAAACAGTTGTTTTCTGATTGTTTTCAGTTTATAAACATGTTGGCTCAATCGAAAGTGCGTCTTTTATAGTTTCCCATTGGTGGCAGTAGAATGGGAAGTTTCCTTTAGATGAATTTTCATAAAATAAGTTCGGAACTCTCCAGTTTTATGTCCACGTTGTACAGAATGGCGACCGCTAAAGTCCAAGTCGTTTTCATTTTCAAATTAAAGCAATTTCAAACTGTGACGTACATTCTGAATCTAGTCTGAAAATAGCTGATGGTGAAGGTAACGAAAAAGAAACGAATGAAAAAAATAGAAGAAGAAGTAAAGCTGGTAAACAAAAAAACCACAAATACACTCGGAGCAAGAATGCAGAAGGTAGTTGGCTTCATTCTAGCAGGTTATGGTTTTGTTAATTATGCATTGAAATATCTCGAATAGAGCTCGATCCTAAACGAAAATATCATTGAA